TGATTTGATTCAGTTCTTTTGAATGGAAGTTCCCCAAACCTGTAACGTATAATTTAAATATCAGCAATCACATATGAAAAAAAAAGTGGATAAATATGGAGCTGACACAAAAAAAAATCATGGATTTCACAGCGGCTATTTTTGACATTTTCCATTTCAATAATCCACAGTTAATATTAACGGCTCGGCTAAATGGAGTTGCGCAGGACTATAAAACTCATCCAACACCCTGCTGCCACTACAGCTGATTTACACTGCCCCGAGCCCTCATCTGCATATCGTTAAACATCATAATCATTCCCCTTGACGAGGAGGAGGAGACGCCGCCTCGGGACACGTGACCTCAGCCACTGCAAGGGTTTATGGGAGCCGAACGGAGCAGGACGGTGAGCTCACTGCACACATTACAACTCCCATAAACACCCTCACTGTTTCACAAACTCACTCAGGGTTGTGCATGCCATAAATAATCAACCATGATTAAGAGAAATATGTCCCAGTGATCTTTGAATTCACTTCAAATAAGCAAAATAAATAGTTTTTTTGTTGTTTCTGCCGTTGTGGAACAATCTGGCCCATGAGATCGGAATGGCACCATCACAATCTATTTTTATATCCGCTTTAAAAACATACCTGGAAAGTTTGGCCTATTAATGTTATAATAGTTTTGTCGATTGCTTTATCTCTAAATATATTCTGTTGTTTATTTCTGTTTTCTCTATATTATTTTACTAAATATTGCTCTGTTTTATGTACAGCACTTTAGTCAGTCTTGTGGCTGTTTTTAAATGTGCTTTATGATTAAATGAACTTGACGAGAAATAGCCTGTTTTATTGCCTTCAGAAAGGACAGATCTCTGCTTATGGGCCTTGAAGTCACCCGGCACTAGTGTAGTGTAGATCTATCTATCTATCTATCTATCTATCGACCATCCGATTGTCCATTTATACATCCATCATCCAACCATCCATCCATCCATCCAACCTTCCATCCATCCATCCATCCATCCATCCATCCATCCATCCATCCATCCATCCATCCATCCATCCATCCATCCATCCATCTATCTATCTATCTATCTATCTATCTATCTATCTATCTATCTATCTATCTATCTATCTATCTATCTATCTATCTATCTATCTATCTATCGACCATCCGATTGTCCATTTATACATCCATCATCCAACCATCCATCCAACCTTCCATCCATCCATCCATCCATCCATCCATCCATCCATCCATCCATCCATCCATCCATCCATCCATCCATCCATCCATCTATCTATCTATCTATCTATCTATCTATCTATCTATCTATCTATCTATCTATCTATCTATCTATCGACCATCCGATTGTCCATTTTTCCATCCATCATCCAACCATCCAACCATCCATCCATCCATCCATCCATCCATCCATCCATCCATCCATCCATCCATCCATCCATCCATCCATCCATCCATCTATCTATCTATCTATCTATCTATCTATCTATCTATCTATCTATCTATCTATCTATCTATCTATCTATCGACCATCCGATTGTCCATTTTTCCATCCATCATCCAACCATCCAACCATCCATCCATCCATCCATCCATCCATCCATCCATCCATCCATCCATCCATCCATCCATCCATCCATCTATCTATCTATCTATCTATCTATCTATCTATCTATCTATCTATCTATCTATCTATCTATCTATCTATCTATCTATCTATCTATCTATCTATCTATCTATCTATCTATCGACCATCCGATTGTCCATTTATCCATCCATCCATCCATCCGTCCGTCTATGACTATTTATCTACCTCCACCCTCATCAAGCACAATGATAATGCATACATCTCTGCCTGATTAAAGAAACATATCTGTCTCATTTTTTGTCTAAGTCCTGTGCTAAAATGCAGAACAGAGGACTTTTAGTTTCTAACCCCGCAATGTCATACCCTTCACTTGTCCCTTATGACAGACGGCCCATAAAACCCTTTCAATAAGTTGTAAAATGGAAATAGTGCCTCCTGCCTTCAATGGGGAAATGGAAGCATGAACGTGAGAGTTATTCGAAATCTTCATGAGAAAAATGCAGACAACAGGGGATGCACATTAAATGTTTTTCTCTTCTCCCAGAACAAAATGTAATGATAATACACAACATTACAATTTAAACAATTTAAAATGACATACATTTTTGGAAAACACAATTTACTGTGATACGCAATTTAAATCTTAGTCTCCCTCCTGAAATGTATTGTCCCTTCATTCCCATCTTAAGTCAGTCTCTCATATTAGTGATTATAGTTTATCCCCAAATGCCTGAACAAACTGAATTCCAGTGTGCTCATTTCCAGGTGAAAAACACAAGCACCCAGCCACACACGCAAGCATAATGACAAAACAATACATCTATTTACAGACAAGCAGAGCGAAACATATCATTTTACCATGCTTCTATCTCTGCAGGGCAAACAAAGCCGACACATGCTGTACACATGTGAATAAATCATGAACGCTTCCCATATAAACATTAGCAGTACAAACTCAAAGCGCCCCGCTGGACTGAAATATGCTGCTTTTAGATTAGAGATCAGTACCTCTGTTTCGTTGTCTTATCTGTACGCTGCACATGCTGCTGAATTGTAATTTGATATGTGGGTAGATCATATCATTTGCACTCTCTGACCAAATGAACTGGATTTTAATTAACTTTTTTTTATACAAAAATTATGTATTTTTTTCTCTTTCGAAGCTGGGTTCAAACCGAAATCCTGAAATGACTTAGGAGAGACAAAGATTTTCAGATTACAAAAACGACGGAAGAGATAATGAGCAAATGAAATGACCACCCCTGCCGAGCTCAAAGATAATACACTAAAAGCACATAATCAGTAGCGGACATCTAACTGCGCACCGGTACAAAGGTTCAAATCTCTTTGTGAAGAACTTCAGAATGTCTTCTCTCACAAAAAAAGTTGACAAATTAATTCGTATGAATAATTTTGGGCTTGACTATTTGTATATGTAATGTGTATTACTATAGATGGATATAAATTATTATTATTTTTTTAGGGGTTTTTACCTTTATTGATAGGACAGCGGAGATGTAGAGACAGGAAAGTGTGGGGAGCAGAGATAGGGGAAGGATCAACAAAGGACCTTGAGACGGGAATCGAACTCAGGTTGCTGCGAGCACCTCGGTGCTATGTGTCGACGCACTAACCACTAGGCTACTGGCGCAGACTATTTTTTAAAATCTAGATTAATATCACGGTAATCTTGAAATCAATCTAGACCAAATGCCGAAGGCATTCAGAATATGTGTGCTATCCAAATAATGATTAAAAATAAGTCTTTGAGAACGGGTTTCTCAAGCCAGGTGGCGCATTAGACCAGGGGCTCATCTCCTGTTTCCAAAATGCATTACAAACTGCTTGAGAAACTGTTCTACTATGATAATTGATGATGAAAATAAAAGATGTTCAATAAGATGTACTTGTGTTTACGAACTGTTTATTCAGTTACTGTAGGCCTACATAAGCTCGAAACAGTGATTTTTGATTACCTTAATCCAACTAAAGTCATAACTGAACTAAACAGAAATGGAATTAAGATATGTGGAGTATGCATGTATTAGTGGCATTATTGAAGTAAACACGGCAATCAAACTATTACTGTCATGTAGGACTTTTCGCCATATCTTCTGACCAGATCCACACGCGTGGCTGTCAGTAAAGGACCACACACTTACACACATTGCGAAATGTGGAAGCTTTCTTCTTTTCATTTGGCGTGCGTTATTATGTTCCATAACACTTTCACCAGTCCTAACTTCTTATTTGCGTCTAATACCCCAGTTTTTCACAGGGGCATGAATGAAATGTTCATTAGTGAATGTGAAACTGCCGAACTCCTTAATTATATTATCGTCTATCAAGACAAATAACTAGATTACTGATGTCCATGTAAGCGTAGTCAGTAGTGTCTTCGAAGCAAGTGAAAGATCCAGAAGGGCATCCTGCTGATTTTTTGTCGGCTCACCGGTTTGACTTTCATTTACCGACATTCATTTTAAAAAGCACCCGGTTCATCTTATTTGTGTATGTTTTACTCGAATGCATAAACTCTACAGGTGCCTGATGTGGAGCTAACATTAATGAGATTCACTCTAGTGAACTGCATCCATGTTAGCACATCACGTTTGATGTGGTAATTTCATATTAGGAACACACACAGGTTCGAAGACTCATTCTCGCCCCCTACAGTGCAATTTGGCCAGGTATTAATCCGCGCTAAAATATCAAGGTGAAAGTCATCATAGCTTGCATAGAATAGACCCAGCTCCCAACCCAACTTTGAGAATAGATTAACGACGATATTTTTTTATACCCCGATAAGAGTCTTGCGTTAACGCAGGACGTTAGTGCTGATAACGGCCCACCACTAGTATTTATATAGCGTATTTATTGTGTTTGGTCATATGGGAGGAGGGTGGTAACTCTACACCACCATCAGTGTGCAGCATCCAATTGGATGGGCCACAAGACAACGGCGCCAGTGCGCTCATTACACACCAGCTATTGGTGGAGTTGAGAGACAGTGATAGATCCAATCCAGTGGATGGGGATTATTGGGAGGCTATGATCAGTAAAATGGAATAAATTTCGCCAGGACACTGGGGTTACACCCCTACTCTTTATCATGGGATTTTTAATCACCTCGGTTTAACGTCTCATCCGAAAGACGTCATTCACTGACAGTATAGTGTCCCCTTCACTATACTGGGGCATTAGGACCCACACAGACCACAAGTTGAGCACCCCCTGCTGGCTTCACTAACATCACATCCAACAGAAACCTAGTTTTCCCAAGTGGTCTCCCATCCAGGCTCAGCCCTGCTTAGCTTTAGTGAGTTTCTTATATAAATAAACTTTCCGTGCCTTTAATGTGAAACAATGTGACTTTAGCACATGCAAAAAATGTGCACTTACCCGTAACGGAGCTGTCTAAGTTGTCCATGCTGGAGCCTGGCGTGTGTTCAGTGCCCCTAATTGGTGGCGACATCTCGTATCCTTCATCCTCCTCATCATCGTCATCTTCATCAGGGAGATCGGTCTCGATGTCAGACACTAAGGTGCTGGAGACGTAGCCCACGGGTGGTGCGGGGGCCTGGGGCGGGTAAGGCCCACCCTGCATGTGCCTGCGGAGAATTCCAAAGAAGTCAAACAGGAACATACCATGCTTTTTTTATTTGCATAACCAAGCAAGGGTTGTCAGTGGGAGACAAAGGGTGTCAATGAGAGACAAGCCCAGACAAAAGAGAAAAGCATGGGGTGTGCTGTCTGTCAGGCGAAATTTGGTATTCCTAGAACATTCCTTGTCATCTCTCGGATGAATTGGGACAATTCGGCTAATTCAGCAGCGCCACGGTTTGCATGCTAACACAATGACCTACTAATTGCAGCTTGAAGAGGATACAATGGCAACCACCACAGGCATGTCTTCGCTGGCCTGTCACCCACAAGACAGCTAGGTTTGATGACAGCCCCACTGTGTGTCTATATATATATATATATATATATAAATACATGTGTGTGTGTGTGTGTGTGTGTGTACCGTGTGTGTTTGTGCAGTGGTGCTGCTTAGGATTCGAATATAATTATGGGCTCTTCTCTGTCGTCAAAAACGCACTATGAGCAACATACTCATTATGGCGGCAACATGACATCTTCCTCCTGACAAGTGGCGGTCGTTCACTTACAGTGCCGAATGTAATAAGTGGGAAGTTGGATTCTCTAGGAAAGACAGGATGAAGCATGGCTTTAGCATGCCGGGTTTATAAAAAAAAAAGCTTTATGCTGTCTAGGGTTTATGACTACAAATTGTTTTCACCGGTAATTCAACTACATTCTTTTTAAAATGATTAAATTCAAGCTTTTATTGAAAATTTTTAACACAACACTTCAAATAAACGTAGAGTTTTTGTCATGTTTCTAGTTCAAATATCATCAACAACAACAACAAAAACAACAACAAAACCTCCAATTATTTATTCATTCATTCATTTTCCTTCGGTTTAGTCCCTTTATTCATCAGGACTAAGAACACAAAAAAGTTATTCATCAACGTCTAAAAACGTTTCTTGATTGACAACCTTTTCAGAAATTTGAACTAGAAACAAGACAAAAACTCTACTGAGGAAACTTTTTTTTTTTTTTTTTGCAGTGTTGTGGTGTAAGATTTCAATAGAGGATTTCGGTTTTATTAAAATTTAATAATTTTAGGAAGAATGTAGTTGAATTAGCCATGAAAACAATTCCTAGTCACACACCTTGGACAGCAAAATGTTAGGGTTAGGGTTATATATATATAATATGTAAATTATGTACATATATTATGTAAATATGTTACATTTGTTACATGTAAAAGCTATAAAGTAGTGAATAAAATAAACTCAAACTTTAGCCATGTCCAATTGATAAGCACAATTTCATCGTTCACTCAAAATAAAACTGTCATTATTTACTTTCCCATGGCAATCTCAAACCTTTTTTTTTTTGTTCTGTTGAACAGAAGAATATATTTTGAAGAATGTTGGACAACTACTGTATAAACACTGACTTCTATAGTATTTGCTTGTTTCCTACCATGGATGTCAATGGTTTTCAATAAAAGCGGTTGTTAGTAGATCGGATATGATTGTGGCCAGAAGTTAACGAGAATTATTTATATTATTTATAAAATTTCTCATTTATTGTATTTTATAAACGTCTACCCCCACCCTAACCCTTAACCCAATTATCACAGTAATGTAAAAACAGTTGTTGTGCTGAGAATAATTTATGTTATTTATTAAATTACCCAATAAATTGTGGTTTTTAATGTCTACCCCCACTCCAACCCTAAACTCAACTGTCACAGTACTGTAAAAATATTAATAATTGTTATAAAAAAATGCTGCTATATTAATGTGCATATCACACTTCCAGCCGGCCGCGCATCCGATCTAGACTTTACCAATAAAAGCTTGAATTAAAAAAATGTAATATAATTAATTATATTAATATTTATATTATTATATTAATATAATTAAATATATTAATATTTAATATAATTAATATAAATTAACAGTTGAATTAGCCATGGAAACAATTCCTAGTCATAAACCCCAGACAGTATAAAGCTGATATATAAATATAAATACTATTAAGTAGTGAATTAAAACAAATACAAATGTTTCCCTTATTTTATGGCATGATGAACCAAATCTTTAAGTCAAATCTTACCAAGTCTGTTTAGCCATGTCCAATTGATAAGCACGGGTAAGCTCATCTAGGTGGGCTTGGAGCATGGGCTGCATTTCTTCACGTGGAGATGGGCTCAGTGTGGCTGTGGACTGTTTGCCAAAGGAAACTGCAGCAGGAGAAGAAGCCACACCCCTAATGGGAGGAGTTGGCACCCGCTCTTCCTCTTCCTCCAGCTCATCCTCTAAACCCTGATGGAGGTACGTCTGCACTGGCAATGGTGGGCCCCAACCATCACTATCATATCTAGAACAAATGAAACAAAATCTAAATAGTCCTAAGACAAATCCCTGAGGCACCCCCACCAATTATGTGTGTTTATTAAAAAAAAGAATTATTACAAAATTTCCGTCTACACAACATTTATGGATATTATGAGTCTCAGGTTTATAAACATAATAGTAACTATGTAAGGTTTGTGTTCAATACAATAAATCTAAAGGGATTAACTCGTGTATGAATACAGGCTGATCTGCCGGAATGACTCTGTTTTTTCCCCCCTTTTTTATTTCCCAGAACTGTGCTTATACATGCTGAAATAATGCATGTCATAAAGCCAACGTTCATTAAAGGAATTTGTCAGTGCACATCCCGTAGGACATAACAGTTTTAATCTGAAGCCATTAAAGACAGTGGTGAGATTTACAACGCAGAAGACTACTCATTTGCCAGAGAGCCTATTAAGCCGGATGACTCTCCGAGATGGAAATTAACAGGGCTGAAAGGCAAGCACACCTCTCAGGCAGGATGTTTAATTTGTATTACCACCTTGGTGTTTTCGTTTTTAACTATACAGATGGGTTGACGCTGATGTCAGACCAGAGAGAAGTGCCATCAGAGTTGCAAGTATATTAAAAGTTGCTGAGCGTGAACAGTTTGTCAAACAGGGCTTTAATATTATCACACATTGGCAGAAACGCTTTGTCTATTTATAACAGACAACAAATAAATCATTTGGGTAAAGGCGGCTTCATTAACTCCCGAAGGAATAAATAAATACTATTAGCGGATTTACGGATGGTATTAACTAGCAAGAATGAGGCTTTGAATAATTTCTAATGCACAGCATGGCTGGTTTTACTGTAAAGCACTGCTTTTATCACTTGATGAGATAAATCCAAAGCGTAATTAAATGGATCATCATCTCTAGATATTGTAGATGTGACCACTAAATTGGTAGTATGAAAAGTAAAGCTAAATGAGCGGTTTAGGACCCTACCCTCCTCCATCATGGTGCTCTGAGGCGTAGTGGTCCATCTCTGTGCCAGGAAGAGGGTGGATGGGAGGAGGAGGAAGTGGAACGTTCGCCCAGTTGGAGCCATTCATCTTGGTGGGCTTGACGTTTGCTTTGGTCTTCTTCTTCTTACCACCTTTTCCACCTACAATATCGAAAGTCATAGGTGTTCGTTAGTTTTAACACAAAATTATGTCACATGCCAGTACATTTTCACCATTAAAAGAACATTTTTTAGTTTCCATTTAAAGGGATAGATCACCCAAAAATTTTCTTATAATTCCCTGACCAATGGCTAATTTCAAACCATCGGAACCTTGTTGGAAACCTATAAACATTGACTTCCATAGTATTTGTTTTCCTACAATTGATGTCAATGGTTACAGGCTTAGACATGTCAAGTATCAAGCTAGCAGTATAGAGTCCCCATCAATATACTTGGGCGTTGGGACCCTTACAGACTGCAGGTTATGTGCCCCCTGCTGGTCTCACTAACATCACTTCCGGCAGCCATCTAGCTTTCCCATGTGGTCTCCCATTCAGGTACTGCCCTGCTTAGCTTAAGTGGGCAACGATCTGAGAGTTGCACAGAGCTAGCTGCTGACATTTTACCACAGTTGATGTCAATGGCTACAGGTTTACAGCATTCTTAGAAATGTCAAAAGCAAAAGTCCAAGGCATTCAAAAAGTAAGTGGAAAAATTAAAGAGCCTTTATTAACATTATTGAATATGTTATAAAAATAATATTATTAAAAAAACAGCACTCTTGTGCGTCACACCTATGCATTTTGGCAAAAAAAGAGCTTGTGATCACAATAAGTCATGATCAGCAGTGATCCACTCATGGCAGACCGTTTGTAAACTACAATTCCCATCATGCTGTTTCACACACACCGGTTGCTGTTCACCATTGATGACGCACACACAGCTGAATTCCATCATCACTGATTGTCTGTACTACTTATACACCACACACACACCAGTTTAGGGCAGCATCTTTGTTTGCTGTATTAAGTGTTTCCAGTTCTTTGTTTTGCCGGCCGTATTTTGGACACAAACCTACACTTTTGTTGTATGCTTTTTCGCCACATGTACTGAGCTTATGCCTGTTTGATGACTATGATTAGGATGTCCTGTTTGTTCCTGCTTTGCTCCTGTATTGACCATTGCCTGTCTGTGCGACTAATCCTATTAAAGCACTTGAATCCTTACTTTTGTTGTCCTCGACCCGCTTGCACACGTGACACAAAAATGCAGTTTTTTTAAAAATAGCCATGTTAATAATGGATTTTTAATTTGTTTAACTTACTGTCTAAGTGCCTTACACTTGTGACTTTATTGTTTATCCAAACGAATTCCTTATCCAAAGAGTAACGCCACATTAATTACCCCTGAAGCACTTTTTGTTTAATTTTTGATTTTTATAGTTCAAAATATATTATTTTGTGTTCAGAAGAAGAAAAACAAAAACTCAAACTAACTTGGAGCACGTCAAAGTTTGAGAAAATAATGAAAGAATTAAAAAAAGGAAATTGGTTAGTTTTTTTCCCTTTAACAAACAGTCGAAAAATTATCTTTGCTGCTTATTCAAACTATTTATTTATAGTAAGCTGAATCAACACAATTTTAGATTTTATTTTGGAATAACTTAATATTTTTTACGTTCGACCAACTTAATTCGTTCATTAATTTTTTTTCCTTCAGCTTAGTCTCCATTTTAGAGGTTGCCACAGCGGAATGAACTGCCAACTATTCCAGCATATGTTTTACGTAGCGGATGCCCTTCCAGCCGCAACCCAGTATCTGGAAACATTCATACGCAATCATTTAGTTAATGCAATTCACTTGTACCACATTTCTTTGGACTGTGGGGGAAATCAGAGCACCCTGAGGAAACCCACGCCAACAGGGGGAGACCATGCAAACTCCATACAGAAATGCCAACTGGCCCAGCTGGGACTCGAACCAGCGATATTCATACTGTGAGGTGACAGTGCTAACCACTGAGCCACTATGATCAATCAACTTTAATTACAATTAAAGTTAACTTAGGTCAAGGTCATAGTCAACTTTATTTATATAAAACCTTAAAAAAACATGAATGTTGCTTCACAAACATGACAACAATAATAAAGAATTTGAGTGACAGGACAAGATATGCTACAATAAAATAAAATAAAAATAAATAAATAAATAAATGTAAAAAATCGATATAGTTAATGAGTGCTAAATAACTCATTTCTATCAACAGGCCGGAGAGAAGGGGTAGGTTTTGACACATTTTTTTAAAAACACAATGTAGATGAAGCTCTGATTTCTAAAGGTAATGTCTTCCAAAGTTTTGAATAATAGACTAAGAAGGCTCTGTCTCCTTTTGTTTTCAAGTGGGATTTAATAGCAATTAGCAGGAGCTGAGCAGAAGACCTAAGGGATTTTAATCAATTTGTGTTGGGACAACATGAAGGAACTATGTGGAACCCAGCATTTTTTACAGTGAATGCTTGAAATTCTCTATACTACGTTAAGACTCCTGCAATGGCACTGTCAAATGCAATTTCTAGTATTTTACCATGTAAAACTTCTCTATACACACTCCATTTATAAACCTCTCAAGAGCCAACATGGCCACAATAGAAATCTCAAGGCTGCGCGGTGAAAGAAGCTGTTTACAGCATGTCAATAGTCAAAGACTGAAGACTCAAATTACTGAAAAAAACCTTTGACCTCTATTCAAGAAACTTGATGGAATCTCTTTGCTCACAAGTTTGCAAGTATTCATTTAATGTTCTTTAAACTTTGAAAACAGAAGTTTTGAAAGAGAAAAAAAGCTGTTAAACTTGAATTATGTTGCATCAACAATCTCCCTGGACAAACGCTTTGGCACACTTGCCCAAGAAGCAGTCCGCGGGATAGTAATTAATCACTCTTCTGTCAGATTCTAATTAACAAAACCATCTAAATGTAACGGCCATCAATGCCAGATGAAGACGTTTGGGATGAGGATGTGATGTATCTGCGTGTTCTCCGCAGACTACATACAGAGGCGGCAAGATTCATTACTGTAAATTATTAATACTGCCGCTGGCAAACTCGACATGACCAGTGCTTTCTCGCGTGTTGCCAGATCCTCGTGAGTTTCAAGCCAGGCATAGAATAGCTGAGACTGAAGGAGGCCAAAGCACGGCCAAGTGCAAACGGGGGGAAAAACCTTCACTGGCAGCACTTGAGCTGTATGGGATCCTATCTGTCATCATCTGCTTCTGTCTGCCAATGGCCTCTAATTGTGCCTGCCGCCTCAAAACGTTCCGATTCAGGCAACCCTGTGGCTTCAAACATCATGTTGTTATTTAATATAATGCCAGGAGTTTGACAGGGCTATACATTAAATCCAAAAAACCCTTTAGAAAAGCCACACTGAATCGCATTTAGGGGCTATAAAAAGACCATCTTCCCTGATTCTTAACAGAATATTCCACCAAAAAATGAGTTGTTGCTAACCCATATTACTTTTTTCTTCTGTGAAGAAATTCGACAGGTCAGTGAGTTGACTGAGGCTTCCAAAATCCACTCACCGGCCACTTTATTAGGCACACCTGTCCATCTGTTCGTTAGCAAATTTCTAATCAGCCGATCACAGCTCAATGCATTCAGGCATGTAGACATGGTCAAGACGATCGAGCAGTCGGACAGGTGTACCTAATAAAGTGGCCGCCGGATGATGTATAACACTATTATTTTTTTGAGTGCACTATTCCTTTAAGAAACAAGAACAAGGGTGTTTGTGAGCATGACAATAAAAGGACGAGCACCGTAGCTATGCACAGTTCAGAGCAGATTTGTCATACAGAGTCTGACGTTTATGATACTCTTGGCGTTCGCCCTATTAGAGAGCGTTCTCATCGCCGGAAACTTCTCGCTGACGCTGCGCTATTGTTCCGGGAGAGCGAGACGCATTAGGAGACTTGCGGAGGGATGGAAGTGTCAAACCAAGATGAATAAAGCAAGCTAGTAATAAAAAAATAACAACAGGCCAGAGGCAGAAGTGGCTGGAGTGGGGGGAAGTAATTGGGTTTCCTAATCGTTCCTCTGGGTGACGTGCGGCATCAGCCAATAAATGGCGAGATGGCGTGATCACTCAATCACTCGCTCACTTTCTTTCTCCCTCTGTTTGTCGAGTAGAGGGCATCAATAATGTAAACGAGTCTCCGCTGAGGAGTCGGGCAGCTCCTGAAATTACCAACGGAAGAAGAAAAAAATGGGAGGAAAATGGAGAAGAAGGGTGGCTTGGGGCGCCAGTGACTCGACTGACAATCTGATTTCTGAAGTAAGCCAGATCACACTAAACTTGGCTGTGCTACAGAACTTTTACCGCATTAACACATCAGAGTTTGCTCAACTCGGATCTGTTCTGTCTTGTACAACAAATTACAATCTAATTGTAAGGTATGGTGCAAAACAGGGGGAGTAATAGCAGTATTTGACAATAATTTGCTTTTAATGGGACAGGGTTAAAAAAAAACTTTATGGACTTTCTATTGCAGGAAATGCATGTGTTCCTGATTATAAGGAAATCGAGAAAGGTTGTGGATCAAAATAAATGCATCAATATTTATTGTTCAAGATTACATCATAATTGTAGGTTCAATGATATGCGTACTGACATTACAGAGTGTTACAGACTATGGGCTCTATTTTAACGAACTAGGTGCAAAGTCTGATGCGCAGGGCGCAAAAGCATTAAGGGCGTATTTGGATCCACTTTTGCGATTTTAATGACAGAAAAATACGCTCTGCACTGTGGTTTATGGTCTAACAGGGTTGAGCTTATCCTCTTAATGAATTATAGGTGTGTTATAGATGGTGGACTTTTTAAGTTTAAAAACTGAACGCTTTACTAGTGAGAAACCAGTAAAACAAACCATCTGCAGCGCAAGGATAAAGAATGAGCCTTCTCCAATCGACCTTTCCTTTCACTTTCTCTCTTTCATGGATAATGAAATGTGTTGTACGCACAGACATCGATTAGCCTACATAATTAATGTTGTTTGTTAAAGATTTGTTTCAAAACTATTTCCAAATTCAGATCTAATTCCCAGCAAATGAATAAATGAACAATAATAATGAAGTGTGGTCAAGTGTGGAGTTATATCCAAATACACATGCTATGCTTCATACGGCCCAAAACCTGACAGGTGGACAAATCTTAGCTTGTTTTTAATAAATCAAGTATAAATATGCATTTATTAAATAATACTGCTTATAATAATAACATTATACCAAGGCAAATTGTCATGAAAACCTTTTAAAAAGCCCCCCGGGATGAAGGTAGAGGCTTTTATATTTATGTAGAAAGTAACATTTTTAAAAAATATTTAATCCTTTAATTTATTTTCATTCATAATTTTAACTGGGGATTTTTTTTTTACAGTGCCGCCCCCAGCAAGATGCCACCCCGGGGCGATTGCTCATATCGCCCATCCCTAAATCCACCACTGACAGCAGCAGAAGATCACAGCGAGTGCCACTCCCGTCAGCTAAAAACAGGAAACTTAGGCTACAATTCGCACAAGCTCACTAAAATTGGACAATATGACAATTATAAAAACGTTGCCTGCTCTGACGAGTCTCGATTTCTACTGCGACATTCAGATGGTCAGAATTTGGCATCAACAACATGGAAACATGTCAATATGGACCAAAATCTCAGAGGAATATTTTAAGTTGAATCTATGTCACTAAGGATTGAGGCAGTTCTGAAGGCAAAAGAGGGTCCAATGCGGTATTCTGTTTGTAGAGTGGTCAGTAAATGTATATATATGTTTTCAAAATGACTAATAATTGTTTCCTAAAGCACCATATAAGAATTAATTTCTTGGGAAAATTGTGAATAATAATGCAAACAAATTAGCTTTGCATCACAGGAACAATGGGTATTTTAAAATATATTAAACATCTGAAAATATAATAATATTTCACAATATTATCGTTTTTACTTGGTTTTGACATTTAAACAATATAGAGTAATTTCCAAAAAGCATGAGCTTTATCATTTATCTGAATGATTGATAATGAAAAGACAACAATTTCACATTAAGCTAGTTAGAAAGCTCAAATCCAGTATCACATGTTATTAATACAACCTTAACACACTACCCGGAGGTCAAACGATATGGCACTGATTTGATTTGGTCAAATCTTTGAAACCACCCTCGCCTGAAGAGGTTGAGATGTTTGACCTAAATCTACCCTTGGCGTCCTAATTGTGGTCCATGAAAACACTTGAGCCAGATGCTTGGAGAGTTTCCCATCTAAACGTCTGAGGCTGAGGCTGGATTACTGCACAGTTAAAGCACTGGCATGAAACTTGATTAGAGAGGAGAAAAAGAGAGCCACGCGGACAGCGAGACGAGAGGACGGGGGCCGTCTCTGCGTCCTATAAATGACATTGTAATTTTCAGTACATGAATTTTATTGTAGCTTGTAATCATTAAGGAGAGGAATCGGCTCAAATCAAGCTGCTCAAGTACGCGTATGTGTGCACTTCTGAGGGGTTTCTTTTAGACCATTAACCAGTGACGAAACAAACCAGTGCTCTGATCGCAAAACATGATGAGATTGTGAACGCAAGGTTAATGGCAATGTCAGAAGATGCTTTGTTGGAATTAAAGCATGTGCAATAGGTCAAATGTTGGGAGGAGTTAAAGATTGAGTGGATTCATTTATTTATATGGTTACACTTTACAATAAGGTTCAATTAGTTAAGTTTATTTATAAACTAATTTCAAGACAATCACATGCTTATGATTGTTCACGGCTGGTCCCGCGTTATCCAATTTATGATTCACCAATCAGACGATTCCTAAGCCACTATAAATACCCTAAGTTCTATATGACAGCCATCTTCGCTTTGAAGAATCCCCCTTTCAACCCTACTCCTCCTCCTTTACTACATGGGTGGCACAGTTGCCCAGTGGTTAGCACTGTTGCTTCACAGCAAGAACGTCACTGGTTGTAATCCTTACCAAGCCAGCTGACATATCTATGCTGAGTTTACACATTCTTCCAGTGTTCATGGGTTCCCAAGTTTCCTCCCACCGTCCAAAAACATGCAACTTAAGTTAACTGACTAATCCAAATCAGCACCTGTGACATGCACCTAGTAAGTAGTTATCTCTTAAGAGCAATCACTATCTGTTCATTAGCTACTACAGCAGGGGAGTTCTCGAGATCTACCTGAACTCAAACTCCCCTCTCGCCTTGCAAACAGGAGGGAGCCCCGGGCTCGAGGATCTTATGAGCTCAGGGCTCTCTCCCGGGACAGCATGCCAAACAAGCTTTATAATCAATCATCAGCTAAGTGTGAACTCTTGAATGATAGTTAATTTATTGAGTTACATGAAGTAAGGATGAACTAATATACAGTTGAAGTCAGAATTATTAGATCTCATTATTGCTTTTACAATTTTTCCCAAATGATGTTTAACAGAGCAAGGAATTTTTCACAGTAATTTCTACAATATATATTTTTCTACAGGAAAAGGTCTTATTGGTTTTAATTTGGCTAGAATGAAAGCAGTTTTAGATTATTTTGTTCTGATTTGTTTATTCTGAAACAAACAAGACTTTCTCCATCATTTGGGAAATGTTTGAATAAAAGATCATAGTGAGGTTAATAGTTTTGACTTCAACTGTATATACACCACGCCTCCAAAAATTCTAAGCAAAATTAATTCTGTATTTTTTAAAATACCTCCAGCTTTATCTATATTTTGTAATTAGATGGCAAATAGATGAAATTATATGATGTGTATATGTTTTTTCTCCTCAACTGATTTATATCACTTTGTTAAGATAACTCAAAAATTTGCAGAATACTTGCATTTTATTACTTGCAAACTAAATAAGCTAACAGAAATAAAGCAACGTTTACATGTCGGAGTCACTGGTTGCCAGACTTCTGTGCAATCTGTCGGACAGTGCAATAGGTGCATGGTGTGTCTTCTTGACTCAGTACCAAGTCTTCGACAGTGGTGTTTTTTTCAACAGTATGGGCAGGTCGTGGACGACCACTCCCCGCCACATGACATACTGATCCAGTGCGATTCATTTTTGCTAACAAGTAATCCAATCCACCTTTTGTCAAGATTTTAGACAAAAATTAACAAAGAATCCATGAAGCACTGTAGCCTTTCAGTTTTTGTAAACAAATTAAACTCTTATTTTCATTTGAAAACACCATTTTTATTTAAGCCTTACACTGCTAAAAATAAAAATTCGTCATTATTACGTCATTGCTAAGGAAAGTAAATAAAAGGACTATTTTAATGCTCAGATTGCGCTGTTATTCCTGTACTAATTTTTTTCATTTCATATACCTGTAATATGATAGGCAGTCTTATTTTTGCATGATATAATATTGCTTGTTTTTATTTGAGACTTTGTGTATATAAATATTTATACAACAGTTCGGTCTGGTTCTCGAATCTTATTGGCTGCAATATTCCCGTGATAACAGCTTTCGTACAGCCTCCTTACCCTTCCGTATTACTCCGCCCACATAGAGTGACAGCAAATGGAAATTTACTACATCATGTACTTTTGAGGCTTTTTTAGGCAAGAATATAGTTGTTTAGATTGCAACTATGCAGTTAATTTACAAGGATAGTACCTATTTTAAATATTTATCATCTCAGAGATTCATACTGAGATCTTACTGATGTCATACTGAGCAGAGCAAAGACGGTTGATGTTCCGTGTTTGCTTTGCTTTGGCTTTTTCGAGGTTAATAATTGTGATCTCCCGATTGCAACAGAGAAATAGTGGGAAATGTCTCTAGACTGATGGCATTTCATGCTGTTCAGCCTTATAGTCTTAAAATGTGAGCAAAATCACCTGTTTTGTCATCACTTTAGACATTACGCTAGAGAATCATTCAAATACTAGCTCTAAAATGACGTTGGTGAATTAGTAACAGTTTCTGCTATTTTGACGTCAGCTGCAGATGTGAATGAATGGCGGAAGAAAGTAGTTTCTCATACAAAAGGGTTTTTAGACTTTCTGTGTTTGATTTTCTCTTTTATACACATGATTGTGTCATCGAACTGTTGTTTAAACGCAATATCACACTCATAGCAGTGCAATATGGCTGTATATCGTCACTGGTGGGACACTAACGCACGCCTCCCACCAGTGGCAATATATAGAAATATCGCACTGCTGCGAGTGATATTGCTCATATAACATATAGACATTGTTTAGTTTTTTTCTGCTGTTAAAATGAAGTTTTGGTCTTTTCAGGTCCTTAAAAAACATAAATTGTCTTTTTTCACAAAAACATCACATCCATTCAAATTAACCGTCATCATACAAACCACATTACTGAGCATGTGTATATAGCAGGAGGTGACAGTGAGTTAGTGGAGGTGAAGGGGAGAAAGGGAAAGACTGAAGGAGAGATGCGGGTGAGCTGCTGACCCTGGACCAGTCCAATACCAACCTGACAGACTGTTGCTCCGATCTGAGCTGTTGTGGGAGCTGGTGGTGCTGAAATCCTGCGATTGGTTGTGTGGCATTCTATTAGACAGTCCGTCAGCCAATCGGTAGTCAGGAATGAAAAGGAGTGCTATAGTGGAGGCGAAGGGCAAAAAAGTGGCATCAGGTGTAGGGCAAGATGGCACAAGCGCATGCAAGGACGTGCAGTTAGAGCAACAAGCAGAGCACAACTCCTGCTTTAAATTCAGTTTATGTTTTTTTTTTAATTTGGACATTTCTCGCTTTATTCTCAGACTAAGTGAGTTGACTATGTATGTATGTATAATGTATTCAACATTATATTATATTATATCTCTACATATATAATATAGATATATATTATATCTCTTTTTGGACAATTCCGGCAATGCTGCATGCATTTCAGAAGGAATCTCAGAATTTAAAATGATTAAATGCAATAATAATTAATGTAGTTTTTAAAATTACTTATAAAATATAAAATGTTATTTATATAAAACATTTATAATATAACATAATATATTAAATATAATAAATATAATATAATAAATATAATATAATATAATATAATATAATATAATATAATATAATATAATATAATATAATATAATATAATATAATATAATATAACAATATGATAATATAATATAAAATAACAATGTGATATAATAAAATAAAACAAAAAAATTAATCTTCAAAATGTTTTTATCATTATAAAATATTATTTATTTATTTATTCATTTATTCATTCATTCATTCATTCATTCATTCATTCATTCATTCATTCATTCATTCAGTCATTCATTCATTCATTCATTTATTTATTTATTTATATTAACATTCATTCATTTCAATTTTAAAATAAATAAGCAATATTATATATAGGGATGTCCAGATCCAATCATGTGATCAGAAATCTGGCCTGATCACGCGGTTTCAGACTTGGGATTGCCTGCCGGGTATTTAAAGTTGAGGTGCTATTTGTTTTCATATTAATTTTTTTTATTTATATTTACTGTTGCATTAAAGTCCAAAAGTGAAGAATTTATGTTATTTATTACTTGATTGTTTAAGCTACCTCACATAATTTCCCTGTTTGTTGACAGAGTTGTCAAATGTTAAAATAAGGTAAATTAAATAAAAAATAAGGAAAATCCTGTATGAGTTTCTTCACTCTTCTTTATTCTTTTTTAAATTTATATTATAGAAGTACAATCAATAAATACTTCTGCTGCTTGAACAATCTATTTATTTAAAATGAGTTGAAACACAGTTCTTAAGTTTTTTTTGTAACAACTTAATTGTTTTGTTCAATCAACTTATATTTGGAAAAACGTTTACGTTAACTTGATCGATTTGTGTTGGGATAACATGAAGGTATTGTGCTGAACCTAGCATTTTTTACAGTGTATCGGATTGGGTTTCGGTATTGGTTGATACTCAAATGCAAATGACTCGGACTCGAGGACAAAAAAAACAAAAAACAAAAACGGATCGGGACATCTCTAGTTGTAATATTCATATACATGACTTTTAATATCTTATTTTATATATATTTCCAATAAGATGATACAGAAATCCAGTTCACTAGTTTTTGTAACAGAGCCCTAATTGCTTTAGAATCTCCCAATTAGGCCAGTTTCTTGGGAAAGCCAGAGGTTAACAACATACATTAGTGCTAATTTTCCTGGAATTTATTCTATTATTTGGCAAGTTAACCGGTTCATGGAAACATCTATATGTATGATTTACAGCTATTTCACAGTTAGAGGTTTATTCAAGCCCAAAATGAAAGTGAAAACGTTTTTTTAATAGCATCAAGCAACGTCTACAATTGATCATTTTGTTCATTAATATGGATAGTAGCGCTTCCTTTGCATTACAAAAGCAGTGCGCATTTGTCTAAAAGCTTTTCAAAATAGAATAAATCTTGGATAATGATGTTACAATCTTTAGCCCCAAGACAAATACTTAAATAATAAATGTCGGAAACACATTCAAGGGTCATGGATTTGGTTACGGGCCAATGGCACACATTCGTATTGTTCCTGAATGTCAAAAAAAAAAAGCTACAGTAATACAATGTTGGTCAAATTATCACTGATACAAACCTCAGGCAAGATCCAGAAATAGAGCAATTGGCTTTGTTTCAAAAGATTTTGGACGCAAAAGAAAGAGCACACACACACACAAACATGAAGTAATCAGCACAGACATACACACACACACACACACGCACACACATGTTGCTATAGCCCAGTGGGGACTTTTATGGACATGATGTCTCAAGTAAACAAAGAAACCCAGGCTGATTCTGAAAACGTACCCTTACATACATTTCTGGAGAGCGGCAAATATGTCCCAGGAGCTACATGTTTTTGCAGTTTTTCTTTTCATGAATCCACCAGAAGCCGCTGTGTATGCTTTTTTATATCTCAAATTTCTCTCACGAGTGCCACTCTCACCTGTTGTTCTTGTGTAAATCCAGCAGAGGCTGCTATCGACTGACTTACTGACCCACCCTCCCCCGTCCCTAAACCCCACCAATAATATTTTCAAATGTACCTATTGACCAGCGCCCACCCACTTCCTTAAACTTAACCCGACACTTTAAAAAAAGCAATTTACCACGTTTTCAGATTTTACCACAATCTCACCCAGTTATTTACTTGTTTTTTTTTTGGCTTCTGTTTATTCTTATGCACTTTTTGGAACATTTTTTCACCCAACTTGAACCTTGTCGTCATGGTCAACTCTGTATCTTAGGTCCATCGACGTATGCGGTGAGCTACTAGACCAGGGGTGCTCAATCCTGTTCCTGGAGATCAAGCTTCCGATACAGTTTAGCTCCTACCCTGATCAAACCCACCTGAACCAATTAATTAGGACCTGAAATCCACTTGATAATTACAGACAGGTGTGTTTGATAAGGGTTACAACTGAAATCTGCAGGAAGGTAGATCTCCAGGAACAGGATTGGCCACCCCTGTACTAGACAAATTGGTAACAGTGGGAAAGTCGTCCATATAGAGGTAAGCCTTAAGCGGGTAAGTGCGAAAAGGAACAACGTCATACCATCCAGGAGTGTTTGTTTTAAGGATGATATGAAGCCATACGTACTTCTGGTTACATGATTCGCAATCTCCTGGAAAATTTATATAGGGCTGCGCTTTCAGAATCAGACAAACCAACCAACCAACTGATCAAACATGTACACATCACATTTACTATATAACTGCTAGTGTACTATGTTTATATATAATAACATTAACCATTAACTGTTAAAATCTATTAGTTACTAGTAAATTAGTTAAAATTATTAGTAACTAACCTTAACTTTTCTGAATTTAAATGTAATGCAATAATGAAAACCTTCTGTAAAGCTGAAACAATAATTATTAAATTAATAAATATTGAAAGCGTTATACAAATAAACTTGAATTAAATTCAATTGTATATAATTTAATAATTAGCAATTATATTAATTATAAGCTTTTTTTTACCCTCTGGTGAAACAAGTCCTTATGAGTCTGTGCATTCAGGTTTTAGTCCCCATTGGGATATAAAAACAAGTACACACACACACACACACACACACACACACACACACACACACACACACACACACACACACACACACACACACACACACACACACACACACACAGACCCTGTGTTTTTCAGATTGACTCACTGTTATTGCAGGAGTTTTTGTCGGGCAGTGAGTAACCCAGGCTGGCCATCTCCTGCTTGGCCTGTAGGGAGGTCTTCCACTGGGCTTCAGGAAGATCCACTGCCAGCTCATGGATGCTGTTGGAGTGGAGGATCTGTGTGGTGGCATAGGGCGTGGCCTGGGAGGCTGGGCTTGGGCTACCGAATCCGCCTTTGGTGGTGAAGTCGATGCTGCTGTAAATGGCTCCATCCGAAAGCATGGTACCCGTCTTATCAGCCTGAGCACTGGGCATCACATCTGAAAGGCAGGAAAAGGTGGAATTTTGAGGGAAAGTTTTTGTGTAATTTGGTTTTGGTTTAGTGCAGGCAACGCTTCAAGCAATGCTCCCAAGCCAGTTTAAATTTCTCATTAGACGTTGAGGCAAAGGTTTCAAACAACCCAACAAAATTTGAAATAAGATAAATGGACTGGGGAGGGTTCAAGAAGACATAAAAAACACGTTTATCAAGGATTAATTTAAAATTACAAATTTTGGATTTAACATAGTGCAATCTATAATAATATTAATAATAATAATAATAATAATAAATAATAATAATAATAATAAACAACTATAATTTTATGATCCATATTATTATTATTATTATTATTATTAATAATAATAATAATAATAATAATAATAATAATAATAATAATAATAATAATAATAATAATAATAATAATAACTATAATATTATTATCCATAGTATTAATAATAATAATAATAATAATAATAACAACAAAAACAACAACAACAACAACAACAACAACAACAACAACAACAACAATAATATTATTATCCATATTATTATTATTATTATTATTATTATCATTAATAATAATAATTATAATAATTATAATAATAACAACAACAACAACAACTATAATAGTATTATCCATAGTATTAATAATAATAATAATAATAATAATAATAATAATAATAATAATAATAACAACAACAACAATAACTATAATATTGTTATTATTATTATTATTATTATTATTATTATTATTATTATTATTATTATTATTATTATTAATAATAATAATAATAATAATAATTATTATTATTAATATTATTATTATTTTATTTTTTATTATTATTATTATAGCTGTTTTTGTTGCTGTTATTTTTATAAGTAGGTCTAGTAGTATTAGTACACATTTACTAATTTGCATATTGATACACAAAAACATATTAAAGAAATCAACCAAACCATAATACTAATAATCTGTGAATATGAGTATGTAGATGTTTACTATGTGCTCTGAACGACAGCCATTTATTTTCTGCTCGTGTCTTTTCCCCTTTGACTCACTCCTGCTGTCTTCCTGTGGGCATTGTTTCTCTGCTTTTCTGCAGGAGGAGATGATGCTGTAACTCCATCCACATGTACGTGTGTGTGTGTGTGTGTGTGTGTGTGTGTGTGTGTGTGTGTGTACTGAGGGGAAAATGATATAGAGCAGCTGCATTTGTGGCTGTCCTTCACGACTCAGTGCTCGACCAGTGTCTTTCCCTCACCATCGGCTCTTCCTCTGTCTGACAGCGGGTCACAGCGCCAGCCATTAGTTTGAGCATGACAGCGGGACGCGGGTGGCGATATAAGTCTGTCTCTAGTGCATGATGAATAAATGTGTGCGTCCAAAAACACGGCCGAGGCAATATGCATACAGGTGTACATCTTACAGACAACAGCGGCACACCCTGAATGAGTGAATGGATCACTGTCTGAAAGTATGACAGAGGAAGAAGATGCTTACTACCAACTTCTAGACTAGAGAGAATTCGGTTTTAAAGGAACAGTTCAACCAAAACTACATGGTGGCGCAGTGGGTAATGCTGTCACCTCACAGCAAGAAGGTTGCATGTTCAAGCCCCGGCTGGGTTAGTTGGTATTTCTGTGTTTGCATGTTCTCCCCGTGTTTATGTGGCTTTCCTCCATTGCGTAAAACAAGTGCTGGATAAAAGAAGATGCTTTGAGGAATGTTGGAAAACTGTAAACATTGACTTCCATTGTATTTGCTTTACTATGGAAGTCAATGGTTTTCAGATTTCTTTAAGGTACCTTCTTTTGTGTTTAACAAAAGAATGAAACTCGTAAAGGTTTAAGTTGATTTGAGGATGAGTAAATGGTGAGTGAATTGTTATTTTTGGGTGAACTCTCCCTTTAACACTTTAAATGACACATTTTTACATGTTTAAAAGCTATAGTCCTAAAGGGATAGTTCACCCAAAAATGCTCAATTACTTCTCAAGTGGTTCCAAACCTTTATGAGTTTCTTTATTGAACACAAACAAAGATATTTTGAAGAATGCTGAAAACATGTAACCATTGACTTTCATAGTAAGGAAATAAAATACTTTTGAAGTCAATGGTAGAGGTTTGCAGCTTTCTTCAGAACATTTTTTTTTGTGTTCAATAGAAGACGGAAACCTAATAAGGTTTGTAAAAAAAGGTCAAAGGTAAGTAAATGATGACAGAATTTTCATTTTTGTATGAACTACCCCTTTAACACTTTAAATGAGACGTGAAAATCTGACATTTTGTATGTTTAAATGCTTTAATCTTTAGTTCACTCAAAAAAGAAAATGTACAAATGTACAATGTGCATTATTTACTCACCTTCAAGTAGTGCCAAACCTTTATGAGTTTCTGTATTCTGTTGAACACTAAAGAAGATATTTTGAGCAATGTTGGAATCTGTAACCATTGACTTCCTTAGTATTTTTTTTTTACTATGCAAGTCAATGGTTAAAGACTTTCATGCTTTCTTTTAAGTATCTTCTTTTGTGTTCAACAGAAGAATGAAACTCATGAAGGTTTGGAATGATTGAGGTTGAGTAAATAGCAAGTGAATTGTTATTTTTGGGTGAACTCTCCCTTTAACACTTTAAATGAGATGTTTTTACATGTTTAAATGCTATAATCCCAAAGGGATAGTTCACCCAAAAATTATAAATTACTCCTCAAGTGGTTCCAAACCTTTTTGTGTTTCTTTATTGAACACAAATTGTGATCTATTGACTATTGATCTTTATTGAACATAAAAGAAGATATTTTGAAGAATACTGAAAACCTGTAACCATTGACTTCCATGGCAGGAAAATCAAATACTATTGAAGTCAATGGTTACAGGTTTACAGCTTTCTCAAAATATTTTCTTTTGTGTTCAAAGGTAGAAAGAAACTCAAACAAGTTTAATGTTGACAAATGAGAAAATGCTCACAACATTTTTAGTTTTAGTGTACTATCACTTTAAGTGTATTAACTCCATCATAGCGACATACATTCAGAAACATCCTGGTTAATAGTCCGCTTTCAATATGTAAGACTTTAGTCCTGGTATTTTCTGACATTTTGTCTGTGTAATGTTCACTTGTTTTGTTGTTTCTGGAGTGTCAGAATGGCTTGTAAAGGCCCCACCCTATTCTAGAAAGCAGCAGCTCATTGACATTTAAAGGAACATGCTCACGCCCAAATAAGGGCATATTTGACAAGCTATAATAAGTTATGTGAGCTAAAACTTCACAGACACATGTTGGAATTATCGTCCAGTAAATTTATCTGTCCGCTTTAACCTAAAACATTTTACTCATCATTTTCATCCAGTAATTGTGTAATGAACTCCTCCTAGCCCTGGTGACAGTTTGTCTGATGATTGGTTTACCTCCACGGCCAAAGCTGAGGTCATTGGGTCCTCCAGATCCGCTGTTGACAGGCAGGCTGGGAGGCCAGGAGTCGGCGAGCCACGGGTAACCCGAATCACTGGCGTTCAGCAGACCAGGACGACTGCAGGAACACAAACCACACACACACACAAGTGAGACTTGATTCTGTCTGCTGAGTTGACACATTATTTTAGCAATGCATTTTCATCCATTTCCATCTCATTTGTGATTGCTGGATATGGATTTTAAAGATCAGTTTAAAGCAGGGTGACTGAGAGAGAGAGCAAATAATTCAATAATCGCAAACCGATCTGACCGAGAAGAAGAATATATTTGCAAATCAAGCATTAAGTGTGTATGCAACTTGACTATATCTGGAATGTGATATATGATCATTTCAGAAAGTACAAATTAAAAACTTTAATAATCTATAACTTTAAAAGATTTAGGCTTTTATAATAAACCTGTTTCCTTTTTCTTCCTTTCACAATGTAATATTTTGCAACAGCTTTGGAAAACGAATTAAACTGTTCATGAACTGAATGAACTAATAACAATAATAATTAAAAACATGACAGAGAAGCTGCTGAGAGTTCAGATGCAGATACAACACAGGTAACTTTCACTTGTTTTACACCTTTTTTCTTTCTTCTGTTGAACACAAAAGAAGATATTTAGAGGATTGTTTGAAATCTGTAACCATTAACTTCCTTAGTATTTGTTTTTCCTATGGAAGTCAGTGTTTTTTAGCTTTATTCAAAGTATCTTCAACAGACTAAAGGAGCTTATAAAGGTTTAGGATTTGAGGATGAGTAAATGGTGAGTGAATTTTCATTTTTGGGTGAACTATCCCTTTAACACTTTAAATCTGGTGTGTAAGTCTGGTGAAAATCTGACTTATTACTTGTTAAAACCATTTCCAGTACTAGGTTGCAGCTGGAATGGCATCTGCTGAAACATACGCTGGATGTTTGTGGTTTATTCTGCTGTGGCGACCCCTGATAATTAAAGAGACTAAGCCAAAGGAAAATTAATAAATGAACCCCCGGTTTCACAAACAAGGTTTAAGACTAGTCAAGATAACTTGCATGTTTGAGCTGTCTCAACTCAAAATAACTGGTGGAGAGATGTCTTAAAATATGTCAGTGTCATTTTTTTTTGTCTCCACGTGCACACTAGTAATATTTTTTCTAAGGCCATTTTTCTAAATGTGTCTTAAATAGCCTAATTTAACTAAGGCCTAGTCCTGGCTTAACCTAAGCCCTGTTTGTGAAACTGGGCCGAAATGTTATAATCTTAAACTCATAGTTCATCCCAAAATTACAAATTACTCACTATTTACTCACCCTTAAGCGGTTCCACATCTTTAAGAGCTTGTTTCTTCTGTTGAACACTAAAGAAGATACTTTAAAGAAAGCACCATTAACCTCCATAGTAGGAAAATCAGATACTATTGAAGCCAATGGTTACAGATTTTCATCTTTTTCAAAACATCATCTTTTGTGTTCAACAGAAGAAAGAAACTTGAACAAGTTTTTATAAAAAAGTAAAGGGTGAGTAAATGATGAACGAATTTTCAGTTTTGAAGTACTGTCCCTTTAAGTGTAATTTCAAGAGTTCGCCCTTAGCTGATGATTGATTATGAAGAGTGTTTGGTATTCTGTCCCCGGAGAGAGCCCTGAGCTCATGAGATCCTAGAGCCCAGGGTTTCCCCTCGTTGCAGGATGAGAAGGAAGTCAGAGTTCAGGTAGGTCTCAAGAACTCCCCCTGCTTGATAATGGTAGATGTAGATTATGAATGCTATAGAGTGTGCATACTGGATTCAATCCTTGTCTATGATGTCAATTTGGTTTTGTCGACTGTGGACTGTGGGAGGAAACCGGAGAGCCCAGGGAAAATCCATGCAAACACAGGGAGATCATTCAAACTCTGCACAAAAATGCCGACTTAGCCAGGTAAGATCTGAGCCAGTGACATTCTTGCTGTGAGGCAATGATGCTAACCATTAGGCCTCCGTGCTGCCCTGACAAGGAATTGGGGGAGTAGGGGTGGATGCGGGGAATTCTTCAAGACGAAGATGGCTAATGTAAGATACTCTGGTTATTTATAGTGAGTTAGAAATCGTCTGATTGGTGAATCAGTGTTAGTTAATGAGGACCAGCTGCTATCAATCATAAGCGCGTACTCCTCTCGAAATTAGTTTTTAAATAAACTTCACAAAATTTACTTCATAACAACGACTAATTTCCATTCAATTTTACTGACAATCACCACATATTTACAAACATTATTATCCTTTATCTGATGGAACTTCAAGAGATAGTGAAACATTTATATTTATGCAACAGCTCTATCTGGTTCTCGAATATGATTGGCTTATACAGTAGCTGCGTGATATTCTACAATAACAGCACTCATACAGCCTCCTCACCCTTCTATATTACTACAACCACATAGAGTGACAGCAGATCCATAAACTCAGTACAGTTTGACAAATGTTGCAGCTGTTGGGCAACATCATGTACTTTTGAGATTTTTTTTAGGCTTAATATAGTTGTTTAGATTGCAGCTATGCAGTTTATTTATATGGATAGAGCCTATTTTAAATATGTATAATTTCGAATATACAGCACAGCATCCAATAACCTGTCATACTGAGCAGAGCAAAGACGGTTGACGTTCTGCCACAAGATGGCGACATAGACCACATAATAAGCCCTTAGAGGTGAAAAACCCATTATAAAAGTGTGGTGATGAATTTATACCATAGTAATCTGGTAGTGTTTGTTTTGCTTTGGCTTTTTTGGGGTTATTTATTGTGATCTCCCAATTGCAATAGAGATTTCCTGGGAAATGTCTCTAGACTGATGGCATTTTATGTTGTTATACTCTTAAAATGTGGGCAAAATTACCTGTTTTGTCATCACTTTAGACATTATGCTAGAGAATCATTCAAATACTAGCCATATACAGCCATATTGTACTGCTACTCATGTGATATTGCTCATTTACATATACATACAAAAATATTTTCTTGCTCTTTAAAACATAACCTGGGAAATACTTGGGAAAAAAAAAAAATTATGGGGCTAATAATTTTATATTTGCCTGTATTGTCATAAATAAACAAATAAGCACATGAGCATCTATAGATTTTGCATCTATACTTGCTCTCACACACCAAACCCCTTTCTATAGATGCCGACACACACCCTCAATTACCAGATCATCCCTCACTATAATCCATCCTCTCAGCGCACCAAACGTCTGTCCATTACAACACACTCCTGCGCATCTGCAGATGCAGGTTTCATTTAACAGGTGTTGTGTGTGAATGTGAGAATGTGTGTGTGTGTGTGTGTTGTAAAGGCATCATTAAGACTTTAGACTGTCATGGGTGCCATTACCACCACTTTACTTTGAAATCGCCTCTTGGATGCTTGTTGCTATGGGCAACATATGCTGAGGAGAGCCTGTTTTTTTACCCTCATCCCTTCATTTGTGCTGCTAACGCCACACTCGCACTAAAAAATGGCTGTTTTCTTTCTCTTCTGATGGAAATAAAGAGCCATTGGTTGAGGAAGGCTAGGGATGTAACAATAGAGGGATGGAGAACGAGTGGAGAGGTGGATGAATGGAGCGCTCAAGGACTCCCTCGTTTTTTTGGCCCTTTCATCACTGTTAGAGGAGCAATTTGTGGTCATGGTCATGGAGACGGAGCAATGCTGGAGTGAACGGGAGATTGTGAGAGAGCACAAAGACATGAGCACAAACAGAAAAAAAGACTTCTTTTTTTCTGTTTTAAAGGCAAGTAAGTTCATTTGGCGCTTATTGTATGTTTTTAACAGTGTATGAAATGTGTGATCCAGAATCACAAAGCCAGCCTCATGTTGCACATGTCTGATTTTGTCAATAGCCAGATGTACATTGCATTTTAACATTATGGATTTTTTGTTTATGCCAAAAACCATTAGAATATTATGTAAAGATCATGTTCCACGAACCTATTAACCACACAAAAAAAAAAAACATATAAACTTAATTTTAATTTAAAGTTTAATGTGTATTGCTAACATTTAAACAATTTTAAAAGAGATTTACACAGTATTTGGATTTTATTGAACCCTCAGATTCCAGATTTTAAAATAGTTTCAATTATTTTTCTATAAAAACATTCATCAATGAAAAGCTGATTTATTAAGATTGAATTCAGATGATAAATAAATAAATCTAAATTAGAAAAAAAACAAACAATTATGATTAGATGATTATACAGCTTATTTAGATGGTGTAAATCTACTTAAACAGCTTATTCATTTGATGTAAAAATTAGAAAAAAAAACCCCTGACACTTATGAGAAGTGACTGTCTGCATAAGTGATACAAAAATGTAAACATTGGCATTTCTAATAAAAAAAGAGGTATAGTCTTCATTAATCTGGATCGACAATTTTTAAATATATTTTATAAATACAATTTTTTATAATTTAAGGAAATACATGAATGAATGAATGAATGAATGAATGAATGAATGAATGAATGAATGAATGAATGAATGAAAAAGAAAGAATGAATGAAGAACAAAGAAAGAAAGAATGAAAGAAAGAAAGAAAGAAGGAAGGAAAATTAAGGATTAAAGGCTAATCAAATAATTAATAAATAATAGCAAGGAAGAAAAAAGAAAGTAAGAAAGAAAGAAAGGAAGGAAGCTAGAAAGGAATGTGGGAGGGAGGGAGGGAGGGAAGAAAGGAGTAAAGAAAGGAAGGATGACGAAAGAAAGAAAGAAAGAAAGAAAAAAAGAAAGAAAGAAGGAAAGAAAGAAAGAAAAAAGAAAGAAAGAAAGAAAGAAGGAAAGAAGGGAGGGAAGGGAGGGAGAGAGGACGGAAAGAAATAAAGGATGAAAGTAAGAGAGGATGAAGAAAAAAGAAAGAAAGAAACAAAGAAAGAAAAAAGAATGAAGGGATGAAAGAAAGAAAGAAAGAAAGAAAGAAAGAAGGAAAGAAAGGGAGGGAGGGGGAAGAAAGGAAAAAAGGAAAAAAGGAAGGAAGAAGAAAGACAAAAAGATAAAAGTAAGAAAAGAAGAAAAGAGGAAATGAAAGAAGGGAGAAAGGAAGGGAGGGA